CTTACTAGACACTATGTTGAAAATGAGTTATACAACTTCTGGGTGGGGATAGGAGGGAAAAACTGGGAGAGAGGAAGGGAAGGGGTTACATTGTCCACAAAGATATGTACTCTTTACCTGACTCATATTACTCATATAACTGTAACCCCTCTGTACGACCCAAGCCTATACAGGCTTTTTCTCTTTTATTCTTCATTTTTCTTTTTCTCTCTTTTTTTCTGCACTAGGGTTTGAACTCAGGGCATTGCTAGGCTTGATTGTTTGGCTGGTACTCTGCCACTTGGTCCACACTTCCAGCCCAACTTTTTGCTCATTATTCTATCTATCTTTGCCAATCTTGGGGTTTGAACTTGGGGCCTTGGCACTGTCCTGAGCCTCTTTGTGTTCAAAGCTAGCACTCTAACACTTGAGCCACAACACCACTTCTGGCTTTTCCTGCCTAGGTTGGCTTTGAACCACGATCCTCAAATTTCAGCCTCTTGAGTAGCTGAGATTATAGGCATTAACCATGAGCACCCAGCTAATGAATTTTAAAGTGAATAAATTTGTTATCATCTTTTGTTATGAGGGTATTATATGGGAACCTGTATATGGTAGAGATTAAAGGATATTTAAGTTCAGAAAGCTGTTTGTCTTGTCAATGAAAAGTGAGCGTCTATACCCCAGGAGAACGATAGGCTAAACATGTACATGAGTTTTCTTTGTGAATCTTCCAGATTTGATGTCAGTCAGACTGGACTTTTAATGAAAAGTGACATATACCAGGAAGATTGACAGTCTGACTTGGTTGTTTTGGGAAGTTAATACTGCTGGTCTTAGTTGTTATAGTTCCTCACTCCCCATGTCTTTTGATGTGGTTTTGCTGCATTACAGAGGAAATGCCACAGAATTATATTTAAGAAGAATTTATTTGGTATTAACTCTCTATTATATTTTTACAGGATGTCTTTTGAAGTGTGTGTGTGTGTGTATTGGTGTGTGTGTGTGTGTGTGTGTGTGTGTTGGTCTTGGTCCTAACTTGGGGCCTTATTATATTTTTATAGGATGTCTTTTGAAGTGTGTGTGTGTGTGTGTGTGTGTGTGTGTGTGTGTGTGTGTGTTGGTCTTGGTCCTAAC